CCCCTTTTCACTCTCCCTTCCTTTCTCCCTATTTCCCTTCATTCCTTACCTCACTCTTTCTCCCTCCCCCCCAACGCTTTGACTTCTTTCCCCCCCCTTCACCCTCCCTCCCTCTATATCTGCCCGTCTGTCTGTCTTTCTGACTGTCTGTCTCTCCCCGCCCACCCTTCTTCCTTCCTTCCATCCTTCCTCTCTTCCTTCCTTCCTTAGAGAGGGAATAAGTGTGTTGTTGGAAGGGGCAGAGCAATACGGATCCCCTTTTCCATTTCTAACAGATAGGGGAGGGGAAGAAACCTAACAGTACAGCTTGCATTCCTTATTAGTGAAAGGGAGCAAGAGTCCAGCAGCACCTTAAAGACTAACAAATTTTCTGTCAGGGTAGGAGCTTTCATGAGTCACGGCTCACTTATTCGGATACATACACTAGAATGGGAGGCCATCTGTCCTTATGTCTTGGAGAGTGAAGTGATTTCAGATGCCAAATGAAAATAGCAGGCATTGTTAATAAGAGGAACAACCTAGGTCTCAATTCAGTCCAGGAGTTTGCATTGTCTTGAGCTTCATTATCAGTTGCAATTCAGCAGTCTCTCTTTCTAATCTCCCTTTGACATTCCTTTGTAAGAGAACTGCTACTCTTAGGTCAGCAACTGAATGTCCTGGAAGGTTAAAATGTCCCCTCACTGGTTTTTGAATGTTGTGGTTTGTAATAGCAGTAGAAAAAATAAGAATCCAGTAGCACCTTTAAAGACTAACAAAATTGTGGTAGGGTATGTGCTTTTATGAGTCGCTGCTCACTTCTTCAGACTTATTTCCATTTATTCTTTGCATCCTCCTGGACTGAATCCTCTTGTACCAAATTGAAACCTAGGTTTCCTGTCTCATTACCAGTGCTGATATCTCTACTCCTACTACCCCACTGCATATCACACCCAATCCAATCAAGCAGGCTATTGCCATTCAGCATCTGAAATCATCTTTATGAATATGGTTCCCAGGCCCCCTACATTTCTGGGTAGCCCCTCCCTAAATTCCACATGGCTCCATAGTGACAATGGTCTGTGATGTCACTGGCTCCTCCCTATGATGTCATTGGGTCCCAGTTCTTTCAATGACCTAGCAATGCCTCTGGCCCAGCCCCAGTCCACCCACTCCCCGGGAAATTGGAAAGTGTACATCGTTGTGGGGGAGTTGGATTGCTAGATCCAGCCTGGAGAACTCCTAGAGATTTGGGGGTTGAGCCTGGGGAGGACAGGGAGCTCAGTGGGATACAATGCCATAAAGTCCATCCTCCAAAGCATCCATTTTCTTCAAGGGAACTGATTTGTGCAATCTGGAGATGAGCTGTAATTCTGGGGGATCCCTAGGTCCCACCTGGAGGCTGGCATACCTATGTAGTACTGCGTTACTTTCTAGGTTTGTAATTCCATTTTTTATGCATTGTCTGACATACCTTGTCAGATGCGTGGTGTTTTGGGGTTTTTTTGCATTGTTTCTAATTTTTTGGGCGAACCTCGTTCTATTTCACACCCTATCTCAAGCAGCCAGGACTCTGCAACAACTCACCCACACACTCCCAAACACAGTCCCCCCACACAGTACTCTCTCAGCTAAATCATTTCAGCTGAAAGTAAATAAAAAACAGCTTGGAGAAACGACGGCTGAGGGGTGACATGATTGAGGTTTATAAGATTATGCATGAGATAGAGCAGGTAGAGAAAGAAGTACTTTTCTTCCTTTCTCACAATACAAGAATTTATGGGCACTCAATGAAATTGCTGAGCAGTCAGGTTAGAACAGATAAAAGGAAGTACTTCTTCACCCAAAAAATGATTAACACATGGAATTCACGGCCACAGGAGGTGGCAGCGGCTACAAGCATAGACAGCTTCAAGAGGGAATTAGATAAGCATATGGAGCAGAAGTCCATCAGTGGCTATTAGCCACAAGGTCTAGATAGGAACTCTCAGGCTGGGGCAAGTGATGCACTGTATTCTTGGTGCGGGGGGGCAACGGTGGGAGGGCTTTTAGTGTCCTGCCCCCACTGATGGACCTCCTGGTGGCACCTGGTATTTTTGGCCACTGTGTGACAGAGTGTTGGACTAGATGGGCCTAATCCAACATTGGCTTCTCTTATGTTCTTATGTTCAAGGGGAGAAACTGCCACAAAACCATTTTCAGAAAACTTGGGAAAACAGTAACCAGAAAGTGAACTGAAGAAGTACTTCCTTTTATCTGTTCTAACCCGACTGCTCAGCAATTTCATTGAGTGCCCACAAGTTCTTGTATTGTGAGAAAGGGAGAAAAGTACTTCTTTTTCTACCTGCTCTATCCCATGCATAATCTTATAAACCTCGATCATGTCACCCCTCAGCCGTCGTTTCTTCAGTCTAAAGAGCCCCAAGCACTTCAATGTTTCTTCACAGGGAAAGTGTTCCAACCCTTTTATCATTCTAGTGGCCCTTTTCTGCACTTTTTCCAATGCTATAATATCCTTTTTGAGGTGTGGTGACCAGAACTGTACACAGTAATCCAAATGAGGTCGCACCATCGATTCATACAGGGGCATTATGATACTGTCTGATTTGTTTTCAATTCCCTTTGTTGGCCTTTTTTGTTGCAGTCGCACACTGAGTGCTGAAGGTAGCAAAATCAATGCAGAATGGGGGGGACCCTGACACACATGCACAGTGATAGCGAGGGAAACGACCCATGTGTAAAAGGCCATTGTCTCATGCTATTTGATTGCATTGTTTTATACTTTGTAATCCACATTGAGTCTTAAAGAGAAAGGCAGGGTATAAATAAATAAATGTGAGAAGCTTTATCCACCCACCCTGATTTTCATTAGGATAAATGTGATAACTTATATATTATACTATATATCTATATTAAAGATATCTGTTGTTTATATCCCTTTTTTCAGCCTTCCACATACTCTAACCAGATTAGATCTGAAAGGAAACAACATACAAAGAATCCAAGAGCAAGAACTGAAGAATTTAGGGCAGCTACAGGTTTTGAATCTACGAAACAACAAGATAACTGCCCTGGACCATGACCTCTTGAAACATTTGCCTCGCCTCAGGCATCTGTATCTGGAAGGCAACCCATGGAACTGCACTTGTGACCTCTTCAGAACCAGAAGAGTGCTCACAGCCAAAGGCACAGATGTCAAAGGGGGACAGTGCTCTGCCCCCACAGAAAGCAAGGGAGAGAACTGGATGTCTTCAAAAAGGATTCTGCATTTATGCATTCATGACAACCTCTATTCAGATGAAGAGGGCAAGGAAATCAGAAAGAAAGCAAATGCTGATAATCCTTCCAGTCTCAGAGTAGACACAGATGATTACTATGACTATGAAACAGATTAAGTACAAATATCCAATAAACTCCTGAGTATGCCTTTCCTAGAATTATAGTCCACATTCTCTGAAGAAGAGCTATAAACAAATAATTAGCTCACTGGGACTTTTGAAATTTTAAATAAGGCCGCACAGGCTATCAGATTCATCCTATGCAGAGAAGAGTGTTTAGACTTATTGAAATTAATAGGCAGGTTCATTTGGAGAGGCTGTGGGTCTTCCCTAGGCTTAAGAATTGGTAGAGTGCTAGTATTAATGGTGTTTAGACATTAATGCTGTATTAGTAGTATAGGTAGTTGGCAATGGTTCTGAAATAACAAGAAACTTTTAAAGATACTACTTTGGTATATATTTAAAACAAAATGTTTTGGACTTAAAAATACAAATATGTATAATAAAAGATTTTGTATGGTCATTTCTACATTGCCTGTTCATGAGTACACATTTGGGGAATATTTATGTATTCAGAGTTGTACCTGTTTCCAACTCCAGCGGCCTAAAGACATAAAAAGAAAGGTAGCAGTGAGATGGATTGGCTCAATAAAAGAAGCCCCGGCCCCTGGTTTGCAAGATCTGAGAATGGCTGCTAACGACAGGACGTTTTGGAGAACGTTAATTCATAGGGTCGCCATGGGTCCGAAGGAAGCGACTTAACGTCACTTAAAGTTAATGCTCACATGTACAAATCACAGACGCTCGCTAATTCTACATCCGCGATTTTCCAGCGGAATACCTACTCCAACCATTAGGTGGCACTGTGTATGAGGGAAAGCACATGCTAACTGTAACCGAGCAACTCCGTGGGCGATACAAGAGCTGTTGTTTCTTAGTCGGAATGTAGTCGAAAGCGCTTCCTTTAGGGGGCCACGTCATTCGCTCCATCAACCCGGAAATGACACCAAGCGGTGTTTTTTTGGACCAATGGGTATGTTGTGCGTAGGCAAGGGGGAAAGGTCATTACCAGTATGGAGATGGCGGCGCCAAAGGAGGTTGCCGGGCAGATAAAACCGAGGCAGTAAGGGCTACGTGAGCGAGATGATGTGTGCCTCGCGCTTTGGCTGAGCCTCCCTTGTGTCCTCTTGCCCCCTCTAGTTGCCCTCGCGCCTTCCTCTCCAATGTGCGGCGCGTACGAGTTGCTATGGCGGTTCCTGCACGCCCTCCTCTTTGCCCAGCGCGCGCTCTTCGCCTGGTTCCGAGAGCAGCTTGGAGGACGCGGCTCGTGGCTCAGCCGTTGGCGGCGCGGCGCGGCGTCGGTGGCCGTAGCCGCCTCGCGGGCTCTTCTGGTGCCGGCGACGGCCACGGGGTTTTTCGCTTTCCATAAGCCCGCGGCAGCGGGGCGGAAAGTGCTGAGCAACCAGAGCCGGTGGCGGCGGGATGGGAAGTCCTTGCAGAAGCTGCCGGGCCATGTGGGCCTGGTGGTGACCGAGGAGGAGCCCAGCTACGCGGACATGGCCAGTCTGGTGGTGTGGTGCATGGCGGTGGGCATCTCCTACGTCAGCGTCTACGACCACGACGGTGAGTTGCCTTCAGGCGCGTCTCCCTGTGGCTGCCCCTTCCCCGCGCCTTTGCACCTCTCGCGCCCTCTGCCTCGTTTTGCGCTTCGTGTTGGTTAATCCTCGAGAGGTGCCCTTGCCTGGCCCTCTCCGTTCTCAATCCCTGTGCTGGAAAGAAGCCAGCGGAGGGAAGGGAGGGAGGGCGGACGGGACCCTCGTCCTGCGATCGCTTCCCTTTTCGCCGCCGTGCTCGTAAGGATAGCTAGGTCTTCCTGGCCCACTTAAGCTCTTGTGAAAGTGGTGGTGGCGAGGAGGAAGCCGGGCTGTCGGGGGGCCAGTAGAAAGAAGCAGCGACTTTGTCCTGGCTCCCAGCTGCATTTCTTAACTGCTCTTCTCCCATTTCCATGTTCTCATCTTTGGAAAACTGTATTGACATCTGCCCTACGGGTTTTGTGTTCATGCCTCGATCTTAGACCGTTCGTTAGGGCAGTCTAAATTGATTAAGTCTTTAAGGCATGGAATCTCAAATGGGCTAAATTGATTTATCCAGTTTGAGCCTCTTTAGTTTTTCATTTTGGGGTGGATAATACAAAATGCCGTCAGTGTTTTCTGGACTCCTTTCTTGAACATGATGTCAAATCAGATGAGAGAAAGTGAAATCTATGATTGGGTAAATGCCGTCAGTGTTTTCTGGACTCCTTTTCTTGAACATGGTGTCAAATCAGAAGTGAAATGGGCAGGGAGCACTGAATCCTGTCCTCCTTTAAATAGCTTCAACGGCTGGAAAGCAGATGTAAAAGGCAGTCCAAATCCCAATCCCTGCTACTGTCTATCAATTAAAAATGTCTTTGGAATTCAAGCAGATCTTCCAGGGTCCTTGATCACAGTTAGGACCCCTGCTCAGTCTCTGACAGTTGGTTTGTGATCTCCAAAACACATCATGTTATTTGTAAATTTCAGCAAATGGGTATTTAAACAGTGTTTTAGAAACACTTGTACCTTCTTGGTTCTGAGTCAGTCAGTCATTGCCTGCTGTTGGTCTTGAATGGCCAGAACAGCAATGGTACTGGTGATGGTTCCCTGTCAGATTCTTGTGTTGTGTCTCTTTCTGCCATATATTTATATATTTAGTGTACTGTAGATGTAACTGAGGGAAGTAATCTTATCATTCTTGGTGGGGGTGGAAAGTCAGAGCTGACTTTTGGCGATCCCGTGGGGTATTCAAGGCAAGAGATGTTCAGAGGTGGTTTGTTATTGCCTGCCTCAATGCCACAAACCTGGTATTTCTTGTAGGTCTCCCATCCAAGTATTAGATGGTATTCCTTGGAGATCTCCCATCCAAGTATTGGCCATGGCCAAGCTTGCTTAGCTTCTGAGGTCTGGTGAGATCAGGCTAGTCTAGGCTATCCAGGTCAGGGATCATTCTTGGTATTCCTCAAAAAATTATTTTGATGATATGAAGCCTTACTCTTTCCTCCTTTATAAACTGATATTTAACTAAAACTTGTGTTATTTTTTCATTTAAAAATAGTGTCAAATGTTTAGTAGCTTGAATGAAATCTGCAATCTCCTGAACATACAGTATTTGAAACTGGGAATTAATCCATGTTGCAGATACGGTCACAGGGGAACAGTTGCTCAACCTTAGCTCTGCTTGCCAGGGCTCAGTGCCACCTTACCCTGTTCTACCCCACCCTAATCACAGCTGCCTACATACATCTCTTGCAAATAAAGCAATAGATGGGTTGTGATTTCTACTGATCATTTTTTCGTGGGGCAGGTAGTACTTCATTGGTTCAGTATGGAACCAATACAGTGCCCCGTCTGGCTCTCTACTGTACCTTCAGCAAATGACTGAGAATTTTAGATGATGCTATAATATATCTAAAAAGGACAAAAGAATAGCTAGAATTTCACTCAATTACTGTGTCAGTTTGAACAGTGTATAGTTACACTTGAAAACCCACCAAGTGATATTCGGTTATATATGTTTAACACTGGGCAACTATCTAGTCCAAAGTCATTTACTTGAAACGAGTATTTTTTGTTCCTTCCACATGTCTCATGAAATTGATTGCTTTCTTCTGTTCCTGGTTGTTGGGTTAGGGATGAATGAAATAAATCTAGTTCTGCTTTCCTGATTATTTACCACAGCTCCATGCCTGATAGAATCTGGTCAAATTGTTTTTGCCAAAGAGGTTCTGTAAGAGATGCTTACCAAGAAACACCTGTGTATCACACCTTAACTCAGCCAGTTAACACTATATAATGTGTCTTTCTGTAGCTGAGATATCAAGCACTTTATGTTTCCATTAGAGTATAATGAGTGCTGTTCAAAAATGTATTGATATTTTTGTGCAGTTTTTTCTTTCCCTCAATATTTAAATTATATGATGGATTACAGGAAACTGGAAGCAATGGTGGTAGGGTACTATGTAAAACTTGATCCGTAGCTGAATTAATAGGAAGATTGGAGGAGGGAGTGCTGTCTTGCCACTGCTTGGTTTTCAGCATACTTTATAGTGTTCTTTTAAATATATTATAAATTAATCTGGAGCAGCAGCAAATGATGCAGTTCTGTGTAGGCTAAACTTTATTTTGTGTGTGTCTGGTTAAAGATGCAAGATATTATTAATTAACATGCTGGTGTTTGTCATACTGTGAAGTGAATCACTGGAACTGTATGGAAAAGAGAAGTGTTTTCCACAGACTAAGTAGCCAAAGATAAATGTTTCAGGTTCTAGGAAGCTGCAAAGAGATGCACAGATCCTGCTTCTCAGAGGTACTCAGAGCATGATTTAAAAACAAAAACAAAGCATGACTTCTTTTTACACGGTTCAGGCTTACAATAAATTGTAGTTGAGTACAGTCAATATATAAACACAATACTATACCTCCATATTAATTGTTGTAATTAATCTTATACATTGCAAGGAAAAGGGCATCATGGATGCTTGCTCATTCACAAGTTTGGTTGATGTCCTGCTCCCAGGTAGCTGTCATTTATAATATTTCTTCTTTGGAAAAGGGCATCATGAATGCTTGCTCATTCACAAGTTCGGTTGCTGTCTTGCTCCCAAGTTGCTGTCATTTATAATATTTCCTCTTCTCTTCACTGGAGACCCAAAGCTGCTTACGCCATTCTCCTCTTTTATTTAGGGCAGCCCAAGGGTCCCTCCCCCCCAGGTTCCCCCCTCCCAGAGACATTTACCTGGCATTTGAAGTGAACAACATAAAACAAAAATTGGTGTTTTAATTATTTTTTACTATATACTAGGCCGTCAGTGTGTATAAATGGGTAGGAGCTTCACTTTATGTGTTTTTGCTTACACAAATTGGGCAGTTTTGAAGCTATTTTGTGTCCTGTCAAGATGGTGGCTGGTATAACAAATCTCTTGTAAAACTAGGGGTGTGCAAAAAAAATATTTTTCAGGTTTGGTTGTATTGAACCTGGAAAATATCAGTATTTTCCAATATTCCCGCATCCCAGTATTTGGGAAACCCATTTTTTGGCTCCATTATACCCTATGGGGACCATCTGTAGCATCCAAACTGCATTCCACTATTACTTCTGAATAGCTGAAGGGACAGTTTTCTAAGACGTAATATCTGAATAACTTCCGCCGCCCCAGCTGATCCTCTTTTGCAGCTACGAGCTCTCTAATTTTTGAAGCATCCCTCATGGTGAAGAGTTCTAGAGAACACAAAAACTTGCATATTGTTTTGTGTCACTTTGGCTGGTACTAATAAAAAGGGCATTACACAGGATTTGTTTTTGTCTTCAGATATTACCTCTTAGAAAACTGTCCCTTCAGCTATTCAGAAATAATATTGGGAATGCACTTTGAATGCATTTTTGAGATGAGACTTGCTAGTTAAGTGTCTTTGTTTCTTTATAGCAGCATTGTTCAGTGTTCATTAATGGCTGCTGGAAGTGTCTAGATGTGGATAAATTCATTCCTGTGCATTCTTGTACTGTATCATTCATGAGAGCTTCCCCCACCCCGGGGTCATGCATCTGTAAAAAAAATAATCTTGTTTTTCAAACTTCAGACAAATAAAAAATAATCTCAGGGCTTGTTTGACTACAATATTCCTGGAATACAACATCCACTTTGCAAACTAAAAGGAGAAGCGGCCAAACTGTCCCGATTGGTGTAATCTTACTTGTGTGTGTTCTTTCAGGCAATGTATCTCTCTTGTAGGTCATTTAAATGGTACACACATAGAGACGGGGCAAGCTTTTGTGCTAGACAATGAATTTAATAATACAACCATGGTGAGGGGCATGCTTTCTTCTTCAAAGAAGATTATATATGCTGGTGCAGAAGCAGTCACAAGTGGCAACACATAAGCTACAGATATAGTTTATTGAGATGTGACTTGACCACGAATATCTAGCACAGGCTACAGTGCAGGTATAACTGCTCAGCATGGCATTAAAATCTAACTTCAACCCAAAACATTGGTTTGTCATGGGGCTGGGCTCACGTATAAACAAAGAGTTCAGCTGTGTTTTGTGTTGAAGCTCTTAAGCTTTTCTGGACAAGACTGGCTAGTTCAGGACAGTTCCTCCCTTGAAGTCCTAAGAAAACTATTCCGATGGTTTGTATCTGCAGTTTGTGTTCTGAATCTAGTAACTTTTTATGTGGCCATTTTGGACTTGTTTCAGGGAACCACACAGATGTTCCTGTGCTGATGCTGGATTATGGCATTGGTTTGAGGACACCCTGTTGAGAGAACACTGAAATCTTCTCTTAATTCCAGGAATGGATGACTGGATTTCGGAGCTGTCTGCTTGCTCATTTAGTTTGCTTATACTGAAATTTATACAAATATGTTTACAATTTCCCCTCCCCTGTTAAAGCCTCAAATAACCTAAATGAGTTACCATAATGTGGGGCAGGAGAGAGCAATAAAAACATTTGCCTCAATCAGTTGGCATTACCTTCATACCCCAGTCGTGGAATTAGGAGTTCTTGCTTGCTCTAGACTTGCCAACTGTGCAGGCAGGGAAGAGTA